ACTAACGGCATTTTCTTCACGCTTTTCTTCTCCGTCGCCTATTTTCTTCTACAGCGGTGGCGGGACAAGATTCGTTCATCTATTCCGCTCCACGTTCTTACGCTCTCCGAGCTTGCCGCGATTGTTTCTCTAATCGCGTCATTCATTTACCTTTTAGGTTTCTTTGGAATCGACTTTGTTCAATCCATCATTTCGCGTAATTCGGCTTGGGATCTTGAAAATGACGACGAACAGCGCTTCATTGTGAACGAAGATCGCAATATTCATTGTCCCACTAAGCCTAGATTAATGGAACTTCCCGAGATACCCTCGGTCTCCGAAGACGATGAAGAGCTCGTAAAATCTGTTGTTTCGGGGAAAGTTCCTTCCTATTCGTTGGAATCCAAGCTCGGGGATTGCTTTAGAGCGGCTAAAATCCGGCGCGATGCGGTCCAGAGGCTGGTGGGTAGATCTCTAGAAGGATTGCCGTTAGAAGGGTTCGATTATGATTCAATTTTGGGGCAGTGCTGCGAGATGCCCGTGGGATACGTGCAGATACCGGTAGGAATTGCGGGGCCATTGTTGCTCAACGGCTGCGAGTACTCAGTGCCTATGGCCACCACGGAAGGTTGCTTGGTGGCGAGCACCAACAGGGGTTGCAAGGCCATCCTTGCATCTGGAGGTGCCACTTGTGTGCTTCTCCGAGATGCCATGACCAGAGCTCCGGTGGTGAGGTTCACATCCGCGAAGAGGGCTACGGAATTGAAGTTCTTCCTGGAGGACCCTCTAAATTTTGATACGTTATCTGTTGTTTTCAGCAAGTAAGCTTCTTTCTTCGAAGTTTCTGAATTCTCTTGATGAATGGAATGTGAGTTTTTCTGCTGCCATATATGATCAGGAATTGGTTAATTTGTTTTGTCATATATTCAAATTGTGGCCGTCTCCGCATGTTGAATCATTGTCTTTTTTTTTGTTTGAATTTGGACAATGTTGATGTGGATTGGTGTCTGATTTTGCATAAGTATCAGATTCTGGGATTT